CTAAAAAGAGGCATCGAATAAAACAATGATTTTCACTTTTTTTATAGATATCTATATGCGAAGACTATAAAAGCATGTTTGCTTTAAGTGTATTGTCTGTATTTCCAGCTCTGATTAGCATAAAAAATACTCTTAATTAATTAGACATACCTGTACTTTTGACTTGTAAGGCAAATACAAAAAAAGGCATGTTAAAAAAAAACAAGTTTGATCATCTCATTGAACTGACGGCGCCCTCAAATCCCCCCAAAAAAGGAAGTTGTCAAACAAATACAGGGACGTATGAAAGTGAATGCGCTGATATACAAATGATTAAAACGTGCTTTTAATCAAATGTTTAAAAAAAGCATGCGAGGACACAACAAATGGTTCCCTTCAAAAGGTTTTTGGGTTTTTTTTCTTGTCCTTTTTTAGGTTACTTTGTTACTTTAGTTACTATTTTTCCCTTTAATTTCTCAAGTGACTGTTGTGTTAATAAGATAATAAATTGTAGTGCGTCCTAACTTCATTTACATAGCCCAAATGAGAGGAAACTGAATTATATTAATGACACCAACAAAAACAAAAAGCAGGAATGCAAAATTTACATTGTTTGTGGAGCATATGCACAATGCTGTTGTGCAAAAGCCTGGAAACGTGCGAAAATAAGAAAATGAATAATGTGATTACCATACATATGAATGTAAATAACTTAATCATAAGGAATGGCCAGTAATGGCAGCAAGATGCACCCTTGGGACGAGCCAAAGTCGCCCGTAGACACGTGAGCGTGTGTTTGACCAGAGGATATTGGTGCTCTTAACCTGCGTTTCTGGACAGAGGGAGAATGGGCGGCTCACAGTAGGACTTCTCTTTACATCACAGTCTCTCTCACCTCTGTATCCTGTCTCAAATCACACACACACACACGCGCACTACACCGCGGCTGGCCCGAGTGCCTCTCCTTAGCCCCAGCAGCACATTAGATGTGATTACTGCTCACAGAGAGAGAGAGAGAGGGGGGTGCACTATGCGCCATGCCAAGACTATGGTGATACAACAGTGCCCCCTACTGACTCTCACTATCAGAATATACTCAAAATCAAAAGCTTAAAAAGACTTTGTATCCCTGCACTGGACTCTTCACAATGCTGATCTAAGAACAGTTCAGTTTCATTTCAGTACTCTAGACCAAACCTATATCAATGTTATATATATATATATGTATTTATTCTTACTTACATTGAATAGTCTGTATATGGACCATTCCACCAAATGACTTTAAACTGCACCCCCAAGTATTCAGACCTTAGATATTTACAAGAATTATGTTATGATCTATTCAAATCAGAGGCATTAACTGAGACAGTGATAGGCTACATATATACAAAATCATCATTTATAGGTTACTTTCTACTGAAAGGTGGCTGTCTCAAACCTTAACTTCTATATTTCAACTTGTGAAAAATAACACTTTTTTGTATTTTTTTAAGATTTGTTTGATTCTTTTAAAGTGACACTGAAAGATTTATTTATTTATTTATTTTAATTGAGTTTAAATTTTAAATTAAAAAACTTTATTTAAAAAATGCTGTCCCACATTTTCATGTGACTCATTTTTGTCTGTAGGCAGAGCCTTATTTAGCCACACCCCTGCCTTTTAGAGCTGGAAGTGAGACTGCATCCCTGTCCCTCAGGGCTACATGATGAGCAGTTAGATCCCACTGTTTTGAAATAAATGCCTCCCGAAGTCTGAAAATCAGTGTGTAACGTGAATACCTGTCACTACTGAAACATATACTTTCTGCAATTAAGTAAAGGTTTTTGTTTTTTAATAAAAGAGTATGATTTTATGTGTGTACAACTGTCTAAAACTGTGTTTGCTAGTCATGTTCTAGATAGCGTTTTAAGATGTGCTCAAAATTAGCTAAAATTATCACTACCAAAACAGTCACAACTGAAATGTTTGTTAAGGTTTTGGTAGTGTTACGATGGTTTTGGTAGTAATAAAATTGAATGTTCAGACATTTATTTTAATAAAATAAACATAATTAAGATGAAGGGTCACTGAAAACAAGAGTCAGTCTAAAGTCCAAGTCAGCTAAAAGTCCAAAATGCAATTTGGTAGAATGATCCATAAAGAGACCAGCAGAATAACCTATTCAGGGATTTGCCTTTTCACTTTGATTGTGTCAGAACATTGCAAGGGATCTGACTGATTAGCTTTCACAGTCATAAGTTTAGGTTGCAACAAAGAGAATGTGAACCGGATGCTTTTCTATCTGTTGGTTTGAGGCAAACACATATAAATAAAAGAAAGGAGAAAACACAATTACTGAGACTTTTTCTACATGAGTCTTAAAGTAAATAAACTTCTGACTGGTGCTATAACACCATTAGAGGTGAAGAGGTCAGTGATATTTGTTTATTTGAGCTTGAGCTATTTCTGTCATCGGTGGGGAACTATTATGTGTCAACAGCTAGAAAGCAAGAAAGCTAATCAGCCAATTTGGTCACTGTGATGTGAACAAAGGAGCTGAAAACACTAGCCAGATAAGATGTAAGACATTTATATATGCTTTACATTTAGGTGTGAACTCAAAGTATGTAAGCGGGCTTTACAAAGATCAAATCTCAGTGTCAAAAAGCTAAATATGTCTATTTCTGCATGGATCTTACCAAAAAAAAAGACTTGTCCAATAAATTTCTTAAACAAAGTCAGTCTAAGCGGCCTCCTACATATAAACCAAGGGCTTAGCTCAAATAGCTCAGCTACACATATGGGTCAAACATGTACTCAGCCTTTCACAGTGACACTCTGTTCAAGTCTACTTAAATGACCCCATCACTGCTAGCCAGATGGACAGGTGAAAGCAATGAAAATAAAGTCTCTTCAGTGGCTTTAGTCACTTTGACAGTCTCACTATTTCATTTGTAATCACAAACTGTAAAATATAAGGACAAAACATACCTGCAAACTGAAAGAAACATAAAGCAATCCTGTACAGTAGTAAGAAGTGCTGCTCTTATAAATGTGTTAATAAAAAGTGTAGGAGACTGAAATTCAAGCGTAAGAGACCGTCTTCTCATGAAACATTCCGCTACATTAATAATCAGACAGCTGAAAACCACATTTGTTTGGTTTGCACTCTTTGTAGAAACATTGTAATGTTCATTTACTAGCTCTGGCTGTTCACAACACAGCAGTGTTAGCTGACTCATCAAACCCTTCAAATTAATAGCAATCGCAGTCTGTTCCCACTTAAAGTTATGACTCAAAACCATACACAGTGATGTTAAAGCCATTTTGTCCAGATCTAAAGCCATTGTACTTGAGGATAATGCCATAAGTATGCCTACTAATTGAAACACTACTGTTCTTGAACCAGAGTGCTTTGAATCCACTGTCTGCAGTACTGTTACTCATGGAATATCAAGCTGATTCAACCTGATATATGTCCTTGACTCGCCTGTGTTCAATCATGTATCCACGCATTTTACCCACAAACAAGTCTGGGATTGTGATTTCGCTGGATTGAGGTTTATCACTCAATCCCAAAACAGTGTTGTCAGGAGTAATGTTAGAAACTCTTCTGTTCAATATGTAATGCTTCATTCTAGAACTTTTTAAGGAATTAAGGGATAATTGATTTTGCTCTGGAGATATTAATGTAGCTAACTAATCATCTGTGTTACGCAAAAACCTCATATCTCGTCATTTTCTTTTAGTTGCATCATTTGAAAAGCCTATTTACCCTTTGCCTTGTGTTTAAATTTCATGATGAACGGACCAACAGAAACGGTCGAAAATACTTGCAAAAAGGCTACATGACACCTACATAAGCTTGTCATGAAAACTGACATAACGCTATATAGATGTTTATAAAACCTTATTTCAATACGCGTCATCTGTCATTAAGGCTCCTTTAGATAATTTTGATCAAAATTGGCAAATGTAACCTTTTAGCGAATAGTGAATGACGACTATTGGATTAAGCATTTATAAGCATTTATGTAGGGTTAAGTCAGTTTTCATGACAAGCTTATGTAGGTGTCATGTAGCCTTATGAACAGAACCCTACAGTAAAGTGTTACCAAATGTTTTTTCCTTCTCCTGTAAAGTTACCATTTTGGAGATACAAGGTTTTGCTCTGACAGCAACAAAATATTTGACAAGTCAGCATTATGCAAACTGCCTACTTGCCTCAAACTGCATTAAGTAGACATGTTTATCTGGTTTCTGATCCTGTATGAAATACTGTTATCTATAACTATGGACAAAGGTATGTCTCAAAGCTAAAAAACAGAAGTAGAAGCAATTTTAAAGACTAAATTTTGTTCACTTTTTGTTTTGTTAACTTTTTTTAACTGCATAATTTGAAGAAGCCAGCTGTCGTTTGCATTGTATCAGAATTCGTGAGCAAAAGAAATGGCCGAAAATAAAAAATGATCGAGAATAAAATCTTGTTGCATTCACTTGCTTTGAAAGTTATGAACGTTCTGTTGTAAAGTGACTTGCTTGGAGATAACAAGGTTTTGTTCCAACAGCAACAATATTTTAGCTTATGTACTACATTTGGGGTGTGGAGAAAACTGTCCAAATTAGATTTTTTGCCAAATTATTCCTTTAAGCTGGGGCCTAAGTTAGCTCATAAATATTCTTTCATAGGTACATAACAGAGCTCCAACAAAGTTTGACTAATTATGTGTCACAATTAACCAGGTATCTGTAATGCACCAACATTAGCAGAAATGCTGGATCGGATAGCGTTTTGTAACAAATCCAGATTGTGTGTTGTGATGTTAGCTGTGTAGTTCCTCCTGTGGTGTAGCAGAGTGTTTGAGTTGTCTAACCATTATAGATGCTTGTGTTATGTGAAGTGCTTCAAATAAAAATAGCTGATCTTAAAGTTAGGATCAGTATCCACATGAGCTCATGCTTCAAATTTTAAATATCAGTATCGGTACTGGAAAAGAAAAAGTGGTATTGTACCAGCTCTAAATGTAATCTGTGGGCTTACCATCCTTTCCATCTCCTTCCAGTCTGTCTCCAGGCGCTCCATGGGTTTGCTCCACCAGCTGCAGAACCGAGCATAGCGGTGGCCCTGGAACCAGTACTGCCTCAGCCATTCAAACTCCACCTGTCAACACATTTATAATCATATACGTGTCTACAAACCAACTGCCATTTTTTTTTTTCCAATAACTTAGCTAATCCATGAGCTTTGCTAGCATATATCTACTGTTACATGAGATAAAGGCCTCTTTTCATGTTTCATAACCCTTTAAAGGACTAGAAATAAATGGGTGCCAGTGCTAGGCTTATCAAAGTTAGGACTACTTCCAAGCATGTGCATAACAGAAAGAAAATTCACATGTGTACAAATGAAACACAGTGAAGTATTGAACAAAGTCATTGTATAATCATAGCTAACATTCAGGGTTAAGATAGCAACATAGCTAGCATAGCTAGCAAGGTAGTAAGAATGTACCAATACAATTTACTGTACTGTGTTGAACTGTGTTATAGCATATTGTACTGTATCACTGCATCTTATTGTGTTTTATCATGACTAGCATGTCATGATTGTCGCAAGTATAAGCTTGTGTTTAACATATTAGTTTGTGGCTACAGTGTAAGATCAGGAAAGCATAAAAGGCAGCTTTAGATTAAAGAATTATTTGTTTATAATATTAAAGGCTCTAATAAACTGAAACTGAATACACTGAAAGGGAATTCCACCAACGTATCAACGTTTCTGCATATTTAAACCACAAAGTCATTCAGAGAGATCTGATGTGAAATAGTTCATTGTAGAGAAACTCAGATTTCTTTACAGTGGTGGTGGTAGGAACCAGGTGTCACAATGTCTACAACCCAAATACAGTCATTTTATACTGGGTTCAAAACAACCAGTGAAGCTACACATGTCTTCTGAGTATTTATATTTAATGTTAATAATGGTAGAATAGTGGTAAATCTGAAAAAATTAAGTTTTCTTTTGGGAATGTTTTGCCTTACAGCACCCTGCATGTGTCTCTCTGCCATGAATGGAATTTAAAAAATACGCTTTAGGTCAAAATCCTATCTCAAACCTATCATAAAACAATGTCTTAGGCATCAGACAGCATATTAATAACCAGTTTGTGAAATAACTTTATCTGAGGGAGATTTTAGAGGCACTCACTGAACGTCTGGCTCCTATCATCACCACTGTGAACAATTCTGAGCATCTCACATTTCACACCAAATCCACTGTGAACGACACTTTACGTCTTAATCATTTCATTGTGTAGAAATTTTAAACCCCCTTATTAACAGGTACTTTTTCAGCCATTCCTTATTTGATGGAAAAATGTATAGAATGGAAACATAACTTGTATCCATATTGTATCAAATCGAAATTTCGCATTTTGTGTAGCGTGACACCCCTATAAGCTAGCCAAAGAAGCAAGAGAAGGACAATCATTCGCACAACTTGCAGATTTTCCTCTTCATTTGTGAGGTAGAAAAGCCCCTGAAAAATCAGGTGATGGAATGCAACCTTGAACATGAGGCACAGCCAAAGTAACTGGCTTACACATGTTAGTGGTGTTAAAAGCTTCTCAACAAATAGCAGCCAAGTGTGTTCAAAAGCACAGCTCTGAGCAAAATGCAGTCGCTGGTCAAAATTGTCCTTGTCATACCTGACTGGCTCTCCCTGTCCATGGCTTATTCAGCCCATACCAAGAGTATCAGCTTACCTGTGTGTGTGTGTGTGTGTGTTTGTGTGTGTGTGTGTGTGTGCACGCATATTCCATTTTTCCTGTTAGCCTACGAAGTGCTGGCAGTGGTGTATGGAGAGAATGGAAGGTCTGTGGTCACATGTATAAGTGAATGCTATCACAGTCTAAAAATGGACCTGCCTCCACACTTACAATTACGCATTACCATTCTCTTATTTTGACAGCATTAATATAAGAAAATAACTGAAAAATTAATTTGACAGAATTTTCTACCTACGCCAGATGTAGACATGTTGGGAGGCCAAATTTGAGTCCACAAATAAGCAAAACTTCACTGTATAGCTAAACATGGTGTCAACCACAGGAGGATGGGTTCCTCTTTTGAGTCTTGGTTCCACTGTCAGTCTTAGCTTGCCCGGTAGGGCTTGGACCCGGATTTTCTGTAAAGCTACTTTGTGACAACATGTTGTAAAAAGAGCTACATAAATAAACTTGACTTGACCTTTGACAGCACACTTTAGGTGTTGTGCCAAAATTCAACTTCGTGTTGTTGTTCCTTTTTATAAAAAAACTGTTAATCTTGTTTTTTTCAAACTCAAGAAATATTTGTTTATAAAATGAAACAACAGAAATCGAGAACATAATCTAGCATCCATATGTCCATATGACTCGCATCCATTCATCAGGGAGTGGGATTCTGAGGGGGAGTCAGAATTCAGCACAAAAAGGGTAAAGTTTTGTTCATTTGTATAGTTCACAGCAAGTCGTACAATCCTTTAAACTACTTCAGCAAGTCTGTACAGCCTTACTGAAGGCCTGGATGCAGTCTGAGCAGGTTAAGAGAAGCCTTGGGGGTGTATTTACAGATTTGGGTGACTACTGACTTGCAGTGTTTGACAGTAATGTTAGCCTCATAGCAGCAGTGATAAACTAAAAAGCAACATTTGGACATCAAACAAGTCTTGAATGATCGACTACACCTGAGGTAAATGGAAAATCTTGCAAATCAAAAAGGAAATTTCCAAAGCATTTTTATAAGAAGGAAAAAATGCTTTTTACCGTTAATGTATGTTAATATATGCAATTGTGGCACATTTCTATTGGTCCATTCATCATTAAATATAAATGTCAGCTACTCAATCCAAGAAAAAAATACATGGGCCGAGTTCAGTCTGATTTTTTTTTCAATATGTTAAATTCCAGAAATAAACAATAACTGTGCATTAACATGTGTAGAAGTTTGTCCTCTGTAGTGGACGTGTAGGTATTTTCACTTGGAAAATCAACAAAAGTATATAAGTTAACCAAGTGCACCCATACTTTTGCATACCGTGTTCCCAACAAGTACAGTAATGCAGGTACACACAGACACACAGACAGGCTGTTTGCTGTTTGCTTTTAATGCAGGTGTTCCTGTTGTTTGTTTGGTCCTGATCAAAACTATGTCACGGTGATGGGGGGTGGAACATCTGCATTTGCTGTTGTTTTTGTTGTTGTGTTTTTTTGTTTTATTTTCCTGCTTTGTGTCACCCATGAGAGACATAACGGTTTATCACACGAGCGCACAAACACCTCACACACCCTCTCCCTGAGGCAACACACACCTCCGCTACCTTTCTCTCTCCTCCTCTTCCTCGTTTTTGGACTCTCGCTCTCTCGCTCTATTTTGCTTCTCAGTACCTACCGCTTTCTTCTCTCTCTCTCTCTTTCTTCTCTCTACCTCTCTTTCTCCCTCTCCCTTTGGGGATCGATAGAGCCTCCTCACCTTTCCTCTGGGAGTCTCCCATCATTTTCACTCGTTTGAAGTGATGTTTTAATCCTCCTAAGGATGCTTAGCAAAGCCAGGTGTGTGCGTGTGCATGTGTGTGTGTGTATTTAGGTGTCTGTCTGTCTCACACTGCCTCAAATGTAAATGGGAGCAACTCGAACCTGCCCTCCCACTAACGCTCAACAAAGCAACGCTCCAAAATGAACCTCAGAACACATACACACACAAACAGCCCTTCCAGGTCTATCGAACGTCAACATAACACACATAGTTTGACATGTTACAGTGGAGTTTAAACCCAGGAACAAAGGCCTGGCAACACGACAGCTTTTATTCTCCTGAAATGTTGCTTTGTTTTCAGACAGTAGGCCTACATACAGCTTACTTTGCTACATTTGCTAGGTGTAGCTGCGGCACCATAAGCCTCAGACACTGATACAAGTCCAATGATAGCACTTTATTCATTCATATTTCATTCTAGCCTTTCAGCTTATTGCACTCCAAAATACTATTAACGTCTCTAGGCAATGTATATTATTTCACATTTTCGTTTCTCAGTGTTCTCTCACTACAATACCCAGCATGCAACCATTAGAAATCCCTGTGGTGTCAAAAAATTCTGACTGACAGCCTAGCCACTGTGCTATTTGCTAATAAATACAACCAGGCTAACATTAATGTAACTTTTACCTCAGGTACGCAGTGTTTTACCCTTTTAGCCAGAAATGTGCCCAGGTGTGTCCTGTTAGATTGACTCTTTAAACAGTTAATAGCTCCAAATGTCTCTTGGTTTGAGCCCTGGGATTCGCCTGTGAAGACTGCATTTGCTAAAAAGGAAAAATCAAAATTAAGACCAGAGAACTGTCTGTGGGAGAAAAGCAAGCCAATCTGAAGCTGAGAAAAGAGTGAAAATTAATCAGGGCCACAAGCACTGAGCATAGCCAATACAACAATTTGGAATGTCCTGAAAAAGACAGAAACCACTGGTGTACTAACAACCAGGCAGATCTGCAGAGGAAAACAACAGCAGTTGATGACAGAAACATTATGAGAGCCGTGAAGAAAAACCCCAAAACAACAGCCAGTGAAATCACTGGCAACCTGCACAGGGCAGGGTGAAAGTATAACAATCCACCATTTGAAGAAGACTTCGAGAGCAGAAAACTAACCACTCATCAACACTATGAATTGGAAGGTCAGATTGTAATTCGCAAAGAAATACAGAGATGAGCCACAAAAGTTCTGGAACATAGTTTAAGAACTGATGAGACTACAATTAACCTCCACCAAAGTGACTAAAAAGCCAAAGTGTGGAGAAAGTAAGGACGTGTTTGTGATCCAAAACATAAAAGCTCATTGGTCGAGCATGGTGTAGGTAGTGTCATGGATTGGGCTTGCATGGCTGCTTCTGGAACTGGCTTGGTAATCTTTATTGAGAACTCATGATGGTAACAGCAGAATGAATTCAGAAGTCTACAGAAACATTCCGTCTGCCAATTTACAGAGAAATGCATCCAATTTAATCCAGAACGGAACTTCATCATGCAACAAGACAATGACCCGGAACACACTGCCAACACAATGAAGGACTTTATAAGGGGAAAATAGTGGAAGGTTTCAGACTGGCCAAGTCAATCACCAGACCTT